AATCCTGGGCCGCTGAAGCAGAGTACACGAACTTAACCCACTCAGCCACAGGGCCGGCCCCTCTGCAGTGTAATTTAACCAATCCCCTCTTGACATGTAGGTTGTTTCCAATCTTTTGCCAACACAAGCAAAGCTGCAAAGAATAATCTACACGTTCCCTTTTCACCTATGTGCAGACATGTAGGGCTAATTCCCAGAAGTGAAAATTTGAGGTCAAAGGATATGGGTGTTTGTGATTTTTATTGATTTTGATGGATATTGCCAAATTGCTCTCTGTGAATGTTACCAATTTTTATTCCCACCAACAAACAAGTAAGGCTTGTTTACTTAAAGCCAAACCCTCTCCAACTCTCTGGGACACTTTTTGGTCATTACAAATATAAGTTAAACATGGACTGCATTTCTCTTATGGTGAATGAGGTTAGGCATCTTTTCAGATACTTGAGAGTTCTTAATATTTCCTATTCCGTGAAATGTCTGTATAAATTTTTTGTACATTTGTTATTGTGTTGTTGGTATTTTTCTTATAGATTTGTAGATTTTTATGTATCAAAATTAGCCCTTTCTCTGCCATAGGAACTATAAACATTTTCTGGAGATTGTCATCTATCTTTTAACGTTTGCTTATGATTTTTACCATGCATATGTACTCTTAACATTTTTAATATATATATTTAAATGTGTCTTGTCTTTTATGACTTCTGTGTTTTGTTCTCATACTTAGAAATGTCTTCCCAGGGGCCGGCCTGGTGGCGCAGCAGTTAAGTGTACACGTTCGCTTCTCTGTGGCCCAGGGTTTGCTGGTTCGGATCCCAGGTGTGGACATGGCACCGCTTGGCACACCATGCTGTGGTAGGCGTCGCACATATAAAGTAGAGGAAGATGGGCACAGATGTTAGCTCAGGGCCAGTCTTCCTCAGCAAAAAAGAGGAGAATTGGCAGTAGTTAGCTCAGGGCTAATCTTCCTCAAAAAAAAGAAAGAAAGAAAGAAAGAAAGAAATGTCTTCCCCACTCCAAATTACTTACTTCTGTGGTATTCTTGCCAAAAATGCATAACCTCAATCTAGAATGAGAAAACATTGGACAAATCCAAACTGGGGGACATTCTGCAAAATAACTCACCGGGACCCTTGAAATGTGTCAAGATCATGAAAGGGGGAAAAAAGACTGAGGAACTGTCTCAGATCAGAAAAGTCTAAGGAGACATGACAAATAAATGCAATGTGAAATCCTGGATTGGATCCTGAATCAGAAAAAGGGCATTAGTGGGAAAACTGGCAAAATTCAAATAAGATCTGTAGATTAGTAAATAGTATTGTATCAATGCTAATTTCTTGGTGTCGATAGTTATACTGTGGCTACGCAAGATGTTAACATATGGAGAAGCTGGGTAAAGGATATGCAGGAACTTTGTACTATTTTTGCAGCTTTTCTGAAGGTCTAAAATTCTTCAAAATAACAAGGTTAAAAATGGCAGTTTCTATGAGTACCTTTATGGTTTTATTTTTTACACTGTAATCTTTGACCTATTGGTAATATTGGTGTAGGGTATTGATCCATGTGTTTCTCCAGATGGCTACTCAGTTGTTCTAATAACTTCTATCGACTAATCCCTTTTTCCCATACTCACGTTTTTATTTATTTTTAATTATCTATTTATTTTTAAAACTGTGGTAAAAAATACATAACATAAAATTTACCCTCTTAACCATTTTTAAATGTACAGTTCAGTAGTAAGTACATTCATATTGTTATGCAACCAACCTCCAGAACTCTTTCATCTTGCAAAACTGAAACTCTGTCCCCATCACACAGCTCCCCGTCCCTCCCTCCTCCAGCATCCCCCTAGACCACCATTCCGCTTCCTGTCTCTGAATTTGACTGCTCTAGCTACCTCGTCTAAGTGGAATCAAGCAGTATTTCTCTTTTTAGTGTCTGGCTTATGCTGATTAGCAAGCCATTAGTTTCACAATAAAATGAAAATCTATTTCTGATACTAATTGGCAAAGCCACCGGTGTCGACTAAGAGACGGATCATCGAAGTGCTTGTAGCAGCAACTTCTGGATTGTGGGTGAGGGAACTGAAGCACAGAAAGGTTAAGTGACCTGTTGCTGATCAAATGGCCAAGAAGGGGAGAGGGTGCACTTTGAAGCCAGCAGACTGGTTCCACAGCTTGCTTCCAGAGTCTTTGCCCTGGACGAGGGCTCACATAAGAGAGCCACGACTTGGAAACCAGCAGCATCTAGTTGGTGTTTGAAGACAAGAGGTGGATGGAGTCACCCAAAGAGTAGTGATCACCGATATGTAAGGGGCAAGTGGAAGAGATGACCCGGTAGTATGTCCCCAGCAACTGACACACTGTAGGTTCTCAGTCACTATTCACTGGATGAGTCTGAAGGAGCAGCCACAACAGTGGAAGGTAAGTCAGGGGAACCATTTTTCAGAAGCCAAAGTGAAAAAATTTTAAAAGATTGGAGTGGTCAACACATTATATGCTGAAAAGAGGTCAAGCTAAAGTCTGAGAAGTGACCTCTGGATTTAGCAACAAGGAAGTCATTGGTGATGAGCAGTTTCTTGAGATGGTAGGGGCAGGCGTGTGCTGGTGAATGGTGAACAACCAACTCTCCAAAAACATCTCCATTTATGTACTTACATAAGTTTATTATAAATTTTACTAATATAAAGGATGTGTAACAGAATTTACAAATAATCATAAAATATACAATATTCCTTGTTATAAATTCCACTCTTGGATTCATGATTTCATAAGTGGAGTTGTAATCTAACTACAAGTGTAGTTCCAACATGAATGTTGGTTGATATTTTTATTTACATTTTCGAGTAATACAAAAATGAAACAATGAAGATATGTTGAAACTTTACTGGTTCCTCACTGATTTGAGTGACTCCTTTGCTGAATCTGATAATAGTTTTCAATTCCTGGGAGAATATTTCCTCGATTTTTTTCTGCTATGCACAATGTAACACTTACAGACATGACACTATTTTTTTCTTTTTCTTTTTTTTTTTTAAAGATTTTATTTTTTTCCTTTTTCTCCCCTAAGCCCCCGGGTACACAGTTGTATATTCTTCGTTGTGGGTCCTTCTAGTTGTGGCATGTGGGATGCCGCCTCAGTGTGGCTCGATGAGCAGTGGCATGTCCACGCCCAGGATTCAAACCACCGAAACACTGGGCCACCTGCAGCAGAGTGCGTGCACTTAACCACCCGGCCACGGGGCTGGCCCCTATTTTTTCCTTTTTTTTTTTAGCTGAGGGAGATTCACCCTGAGTTAACATCCACTGCCAATCTTCCTCTTTTTGTATGTGAGCCACCACCAAAGCATGGCCACTGACAGACTAGTGGTATAGGTCTGTGCCAGGGAACTGGGCTGGGCCACCAAAGCAGACTGTGCCAAACTTAACCACTAGGCCACTGGGGCTGGCCCCAGATATGACACTTTTAAGTTTAATTTGCATTATTAACATTTTCTCCATTACCTTCTTAAATCTAGACAATCAACAAAGCCTGATATGTAGTGTTTGCCAATTTCTTTGTTGTAAATACTCCGACCAAGGCCAATTTCAAACTACCTACTTGATGTCACTAAATGAGTTGGGAAGAGATACACAGTAGTACATCATTGTATAGTATTTCCACCATACAGATACAATAAATTTCAATAACCTCAAGAGCATATATAATAGTAAAATGCAGTAAAATAATCAGGAAGTAATGAGTTTGGGGTATTTATTACCTCTGTTTTTAAATATAATTTATATAATTGTAAGTTTGCACAATTTAATTTCTGATAAGAGCTGTGTTTAAAACCCGGTCCAGGGCCAGCCCAGTGGTGCAGCAGTTAAGTGCACCTGGGGTTCACTGGTTCGGATCCCGGGTGCAGACATGGCACCACTCGTCAGGCCACACTGAGGCAGCGTCCCACAAAGCACAACCAGAGGTACTCACAACTAGAATATACAACTATGTACTGGGGGGCTTTAGGGAGAAGAAGAAGAAAAGAATAAAAAAAAAAAAAAGATTAGCAACAGGTGTTAACTCAGGTGTCAATCTTTAAAAAAGACAAAACAAAACAAAAAACCCGGTCCACAATGTTTCTGAAAAACAGTCAGCTTTCACAAATCGGTGGAGCACACCACTAGGTGGGAGTGAGAACCAGGCTGCAGTGGGATGGGACTTTCCTGACCAAGCCTCTAACCATGGCCAGCAAAGTCCATCTTCCTTGCCTTCCCAACAGTCTGCTCCCCTACTCTCTGTTCCAGCCACACTCCAGGACCTCACTCAAACTGCTCCTGTAAGGGCGAAACTCCTGCCATGTTGGGAAAATTAATCTCTACCCCATAGCATCCTTTGTAGCATTTATCACAATTTGCTATTAAATTATTCTGGGAGTATAGGAACTTGTTTCTTGTCTGTCTCCACGAACCATACTATCTGTGATGGCCAAGGTTGAGTATGGGTCATAGTCACATTTATTCTCTCAGTACCTACTACAATGTTTCGCACATGGTAAGTGCTCAGTAAGTATTCATTGAATGAATGCTCAGGATGAAGGGCTGCCAGAATGGACAGTCTGCTAGGGAAAGGTTGCATGTGTGTGAGGCATCACCTGAGGGGCATCACCAGAAAGCACCTTCTCTGATGCCTTCTGCTTATTTGGAATGGCCTGTGCTCCACCATCTACAAGTGAAAGTACAGAGAATCTTCTCAACATACACTGAACCTTCCCAGGAAACACGACCCTGAGCATATTCATTCCGTGACAAGGTAGAACTTTAGGCTCTTGTAATTTGTTTGTACAATGCCTAATTGAGTATATTTTAATAACTTTCTTTTGAACATATTCTTGTCAGTGCTAGCAGGCAGAAATGGGATGTCCTCATCAAGCTACTGACTGAACAACAGGGGAGCTTTGCCAGGCTTCTGGGTACAGCTCTTATCACCAGGTCAGTCCTGCCAACAAAGTGGCCCTTTTTGTCGTGGTGGGATGGAAGGTTTGACAATAAACCATTTGTGACAGCAAGTACAACTGGCACGAACGATCATTTCATAGGAAATCAGACATACGTAAACATGCTCTGCTCATTTAAGCTTTGAAAACAGAAAACCAATAGACCCCAGAACTACATACAAGACTAGCCCCTTAGCGATGACACTCTCAGAAACAAACAAAACCTACTGGCAAATCTGACTTCATACAAAGAACCCATCTGTACCAAGATATCCAGCCCTGCTTCATCATTAAGTATCGGAACATTTTAAACCCAGTTAGCCGTCACTGTGACACAAAAGTTTAAAATAACAATCACGCTAACAATATCACCACACGGGTGTCAGCGAAAAACTACAACTCTGACCCTGAATATAAACACAGCATGAAAAAGTAGGATCGTCAGGAAGAATCAGACAGGAGCAATCAGGGTGTTGCAAGTCCTGATTACGCAGAGACGCTAATCACGAATCATGCGCACTCCAATCATCATTTTCCAATCTGCCCCCCAAAGGAGGAACAGGTAAGGATTATCCTACCTGACGATATTCAGCATCTTCAATGCATCCCGTACTCAGTGAAAAAGATTCCACTAACAGCTAGGGCGAGTATATAACGCATTAGCCTGAGCAAATGGTTATTTAGGTTCCTCCACTTATGTTGCGACATTTATTTGCAGATCAGCTAAAATATATTTGTTTCCATTTGGCTACCAAAAGGGATAAATTAATTCCTCCCAGAATGCTCCACTCACTTACGAGCTTGGAGTCCTAGCCGTAGGAGCCGCCTATTTACATATCTCCGCCCACTCCCTTCGCCAGACAGCTACCGTAATAACCAAAATAAAAGCGATACTTACCTTACAGTCTGCAAAGCTGGAAAACAACCTTCCGTTTCTCCAGTAGTTTGGCCACCCCGATCCTCCCCTGAAATTTTTACAAGTCTTGATCTTACTCTAAAATATATTTTATTACAAAGGGCTAAATAAAACGTTGATAATCCTAGACGCGAGAGAAAATTACCCTAACACTACTAACGCTGACATCTTCCACCAAATAGTTTCAGTCGCAGCGCGGAAGCCTAGCGCTGCCTTCTTCCAGGAACGGTGAATGGTCCCTCGCTCCTCCAGCCTTCATCTGTACGTTCCCGTCATAAAGGTGGTCAGAAAGGTTTCTTTTTCAGCCCAAAAACGCTGATGAATAATGCCATTTCGGTGACAGCTGGGAGGGCACTGCCAAAGGTAGGTGGTGGGTTCAGGGCCCCTTCCAATAAAAATCCCCAAATCCCCAAACCAGAGACCCCACCCCCAAAGTGTAGGTGGGGCGGGATTTCAAAAGACTACAGGAATGTTGAGTGGATCTGAGTTTCACACATGGAGCAAAGGGCTGGGTGGGGGAAACTTTGCGATTTAGAGTAAACCTCCCACGCCCATCTCCAAACATTGGGCGCTACCTACCTGCAGAAGACAAAAATGTACCAGTATGTAGTGCACTCCCAACGCTCGAATATGAAAAAGGAGAGGGCCACAGATGCACTACAGTGAGCTCCAATGGCTTGAGAATGCACCAGAGTCAAGGAGGCTTATGGAATGGTAGAAAGTGATGGGCCAGAAAAGGCCGGTGGTGAAGCTGGCATCCGCCCTCAGGTTCACCTCTTGCTCCTTCCCCACACTGCAAAGGCCAGAGCTGGCAGGCCCGCCTCCTGAGGCTTTAGGACAGCCATGTGAGTAGAGGCCAGGGGTGAGCCTGCACAGCTGGGACCCAGGCTACCCCCACCCCATATCTATAGGCTAGCCTGCACCCTTCAGGTGAGGTAGGAGTAGGCTCCTTCTCTCCCACAGGCCACACAGAAATGCTCGCAGTGACTTGACACACTCTGCAGGATTACCCTCCAGCACCCTGGTCCTCCTGGTCCACAATTCAATGTCAAGAGCCTTCCCTGATCCATCTTTCTCACTTCCTCTATTTCTTCTGAGTTCCCACAAGGCTTTATACCTTTACACACTCCTACAGCACAGTGCTTATCACACTGAATTACAGATGTCCGTGTGTCTGCCTCTTCCTCAAGGTATAAATAAAACTGTGCTTTACCTCCCCTTTTGGATCTCCAGTGCCTGCTGCATAGCAGGGCAAATGATCGCAGATTGTATTAAATCTTCCACATTGCCTAAAGAGATCTCTAACTGGAGAGACTGTTTGTCCGCTAAGGCAGACACCATTGTGCCAGAAAGGCCCAGTTAGGCAGCTAAAGGGAGTTGTGATGGAAATGGACAGTGTGGGAAAGGTGCGCAGCCAGAAAAGATACAGATGAGGCTCTGGGTGCTGTTGAACATGGAAACTCCTGAGAAGAAACCGGCCAGCTCCACTGCAAAGAGGCCCAGGGTGACAGAGAGCGCGGCCACCAGTCTGCAGAGAAGAAAGAGGGTTAGTTCAGGCCTTCTGGACTTCTTCTAAGACCCCTGCACTCCCACCACTGCTTAATTCTGACCACCCCGCCCCAAGTGCTCACTGAATGTCCTGCTTCTCATATTCCTCGGGGGTGAACGTGAGAGGCAGGCAGGCCTGGATGTTGCTGTCCTGGGGAGCAGGGCAGAGAGGAAGAGAAGTGAAAAAAAGGCGGGCTGCGGGGCAGGCCTGGGGTCAGCGAGGGATGGGAGGACCCGACCAGGGGAGGCCCTGGGAAAGGGGCGGGGTTGGGCTGGGGCCACTCCGAGGCAGGAATGGGGGCGAGAGGTCCTGGGTCTTACCCGGGACCAGAATAAGGTGATGACGACCACCAGATGCGCCAGGAGCGTCAGGAAGCGAGAAGGCACGAGTCCTGAGATCCGGCCCATGGCCTCCAGCGGCAGAGGCACTGCCTGGAGCGGAGGCCGTGGTCTCAGGGGCTGGAAGTTCAGGGATGGCCACTCCTGAAGTCTCCGAGGCCAGCACACAGAAACTCGACAGACGCCTCCTTCCCGCTCGCGCTGGCACCGCCCAGTTGCCTTGGCAACCGCGTAGGCGGGCTTCGCGGCCGGATCTCCGAAAATCTCGCGAGAGCAGTAAATTCGGGAGCCGCAGCCGGTCTTCTGGAGGTTGCTGGTCCCGGGTGCCCTGCGAGTGGTCCCGGCCTGGTGCGGACCGCCGGCCAGCTCCCAGCGCGCAGCCGAGCCGTGTGCACCTGGGAGTGTGCGGTGTGGCGCCGCCCCGCACCGCCGAATCTGCCCCCGTAGGGCGAGCGAAAGGAAACCCGCCCTGCCCTAGCCCGCTACACCCCTTCCTCCCCGGATGCCCACGCCCGGTGCGGCCGGGCCCCAGGCCCCCGCTACGTTGCCCAGAATGACCCTCCGCGTAAGAGTTGCTCACCAGAGACGCTGTCACCGCCGCGCTGGGATTAGGGCATCTCCATGCCCAAGGCATGGACACTCGCTCCTTTTCTCACTGCATCCCTTTATCTTCCCACTGCCCAGGGCAGTGGGACAAAGGGAACTAAGCGTGGAGAGATGGATGTCCCCAGATTCTCCGGCTGTCACTTATTGTCACGGAGCCTCTGGTTGTCCAAGGACCTCAGACCTGAACCTTCCTTGATCTGATTCCGCCCACCCTACTCCCCAGACAACTGACCTTTGGGCCTCACAGGGCGTCCCTGCAGAACGGAAAGTTCTCGCCCACGTTTATTGCTCACAGTCAACTCCCATCCTCGGGGGCCCTCCCTGCCCACTTACCAGAAGATCATCTTTCTCCCTACTCTCCATCCCAGTGCTTTTAGGTCGGTCTAAACCACCACCCCAAGGGACATTTCTCATTCATTCATTCATTCACTCAACAGATATTCGTTGACCAACTGGTAAACGCCAGGTACTGTGCTGGGCTCTCGTTCTTGACAAAAGTCTCTACCTTCCCAGAGTTTATATTGTAGCCGGGGAGATCGATAACAAACATGCAAACAAATAAGTCCGCATGGTGATAGGTGCCATAAATAAAATTTTAAAAGGGAAACACTACAATAATATGATCAAGAAAAGGCTATTTGAAAATGAGTCATTTGCTCTTAAACTTTGTTTTAGGCAATGTGGTCAAAATTGAGAGGAAACGCATTTCTCTCTTCCAGGCCCCCAATGTAATATATGGATTTCCTTTTTATAAACCAGTGACTGAAAAAATTCAGAATTCAAAGAGAGAGTCAAAAGATGTTTCCTCAAGGTCATGAAAGACAAAGACTGAAGAACTTCCAGATTAAGTGAGACTAGGATGTGACAAAGTTGACATGAGAGATTTAATGTATGATCCTAATGGATCTTGGATTAGGAAAAAAAACCTATTTCTTTTATTATAAAGGATATTAGTAGAACAACTGGCAAAATTTGAACAAGGTCTCTAGCTTAGATAACAGCATTGTATGAGTGTTACCTTCCTGATTTTTGAGAACCCTACTGCCTTTATGCACGAGAATGTCCTTGTTAGAAAATACACACTGAAGGGTTTAGGGGCAAAGGGGCGTTACATCTGCAATTTACTCTCAAATGGTTTAGAAAAAATATATATGTGTCTGTAGAGAGAGAGAGACACTGACAGAGCAAACGTAGTCTCAGTGAAGGCACACAGAAATTGTTTGCATTATTTTTGCCAGTTTTCTGTAAATAAAATTATTTTAAAATAAAAAGTTTTAAATGATAAGCCTTTTTAAGTTTTTCTTCCAGGTCATAGACAATATTATCATCGAGACATTAAATTGCTTCGTAAAGAAGAAGGAATGATTTCTAGGATTGAGAGTCGCTAAATGTTGAACTCCTGTATATTAAAACTATGTAATAACATTTTCATATAAAACCACCTCTTTAGTGGGCAGCACAGCTTCTTCATAATAGAGACAATGTGATCACCAAAACTCATAAAGTAAAAACTGCAATCGTTTACACTTCTCAGAGGAATTATTTTTATAAAGAGTGAGGTTCAGCAAAGTCTCTTTATTCTCTACCGAAAAAATATTTGATTATAATCAAATATTACCCACACAGGTTTCTCAGCTCTCAGGTGTGTAGTGGAGGTTCTCTCTCTCTCTTTTTTTTTGGCGAGGAAGATTGGCCCTGAGCTAACATCTGTTGCCAATCTTCCTCTTGTTGCCTGAGGAAGATTGTCACTGAGCTAACATCTGTGCCAACCTTCCTCCACTTTTTGTATGTGGGATGTCACCATGGGGACACCGCCACAGCACAGCTTGATGAACGGTGTGTGACTGAAGTCTGTGAATCCTGGGTCACCGACGCAGAGTGCGCAAACTCAACCACAATGCCACCAGGCTGGTCCTGGGAGGTTCTCTCTTTAACTGGACTGTTTCAAAGTTCTGAAAATACTTTCAAACCTCCCCCATCTCAGGAGGGACAGGCAAACCCATGAAGTACAGTGGACCCAACTGCTTCTCTCCCTTGAGATGACCCTCATCACTATTAATGATGTGACAGTGATGAGTGACAGTGATGACACCTAAAGTACGACGAAAGGTGGGCTTCCCGTGCTCTCTAACATGGAAATTACAGAGTAGCAAGCATGGAAACATTCTGAGCACATAGACAAGATGCAAGGACTGAAGAGTCCTCATACTTTTCTTCCCTTTGCCTATAACTTACATGTCTTTTCTGCTGGGAATAGAAGGCCCAGGTCTTCAGACAGTTTATCAAGTTGAACTGTTCACAGATGAAGGAAGCACTGTCAGAGTAAAGCCCGTGGGCTTGCATAGAGGAAAGCCCGTGGCCTTGCTTTTGCAAGACTTCCCGAGGTCCCTGGAACAAACAGAACGAAGAGAAGGAGTCAGTCATGTGAAGATCTGGGGACAGAGCATTCCAGGCATTGGAGCAGCAAGCGCAAAGGTCCTTAGGTGGAACAAGCCCAATGTGTTTGTTGAATAAAAAGGAAGCTAGTGTGTCCGAAGCCTGGTAATGGATGGAGAAGAAGAGATCAGGGTGAGCGGGATGGGTAGACAAGGGTCAGATCATGTTGGATCTTGCAGCCATGGGCAGGGACATGGTCAGAATTGTATTGTAGAAGATGAGTGTGGTTGCAACATGGAGAATGGATTTTAAGATTTTAAGCAGAAGGCCAGTAAAGAAGCCATAGAGTTATCCAGGAAGGACAGGATGAGATCGGGCCAGGATGGACTCAAGAAGGAGGAGCAAAGTGGAAGGAATCAAGAGATAGTTAGAAATGGGTGAAGGGGGGTATAAATTTATTATTTTTTTTTAAAAAAGAGATAGCTAGAGGATAAGAAGGTCTGGACATGGGGCTGTGGGTGGGTGAGAAAAAGGGAAGGGTCGAGGATAACTGTTAGATTCTGGACTCCAGAAGCTGGAAGTTTGGGGCATTCTGCTTATAATAGGCTTCCTGCCTAAGAGGCCTACTAGAGAGTCAGAACTGGATGGTCACATTTCACACTGTGAGTTCATAAACAGTGAGCAGGCATTTAGGTCTGTTCTCTCATTTTCCCTGACCTTGGTTCACAGCAGCCAGCAGCTCTGCAGAGGTCTCACAAAAGTGAGCTTTGGAGCCACCCTGTGGCCACAGGAGGTACTGCTGGTGACCAGGTGTCCCCTAGTGGGCCACTGGCTTCAGGGCTGGAACCCATATGTCCTAACTTAGAAAAAAATTTTTGATCATGGAAAAATTGAAATATACATAAAAATCAAGAAAATAGTATAATGAACCCCTTTGAAGCCTACCGTTCCACTTCAACAATTACCAACACAAGGCCAACCTTGTTTCCGATATACTCTCCCTCTCAGCCCCATTAGGTTATTTTGAAGCAAATCTCAGACATCACCAAAGAGTTCAAATTGCCCAATCTCATACATATTATTTTTTTTCACTGTTTATCCCTCCCCATTCCTTGTTTTCTTGCAATTTATCTGTTGAAGACGGTGGCACATTTGTGGGCTGTATACTGGTCGTATCATTTAACATGTTGCCCTGTGCCCAGTATTTCCTGTAAACTGGTTGTTAGATATAGTGGTTGATCAGCCTCGCATTCAATTTTCTGGTAAAAATACATCATGGGTGGTACCTGGCACTTCTTACTCCATCAAATCAGGAGGTACATAATGCCTGCTTGTCTCTATTTTTCTGGTGTTAAGTCTGAGCAGTAGATTCAGGTGTAGTCAGACTGAGGCAACCATTATATAAGTTCCCCACCAATTTTTCACCTCCTGCTTTAATTGATCATCACTACCCAGCTCCATTATTTCATGAGAGGTTGCACAATAGGATGTCCTAATTCTATAATTCCTTCTGCATTTATCACTTGGGATTCTTCTATAAATAAGGATGTGTCCTCATCAACCTGTTTACCATGAGATACAGGTCATACAGGAAAGGCTGGATAAATGTGTGATTTTTGCCCCCCATTATCCACCTGCTTTCAGAATGAGTTGATTCCCTTGCTTCCTCCAAAAGTGACTAATTAGTTGTTTTTAGTGTCACTGTGAACTTGTAGACTTCAACATCTTTTGTGTGTTTCAGTCCATCGCAGTTATTCTTTTTTGATGCTCAAACAGTCTCAGTTTGGGCTGGTGGGAACCTCTTCAAGTTGACCCCTGAGTTGTTTCTTTTCTTTTCTATGTGAAATTTACACAACGTAAATTAACTTTTGTAAAGTGGTATTTAGACACAGACAAGGAAACTGAGGCACAGAGTATATTACCTGCCTGAGATCACACAACTTGTAACTGATGACACCAGGTTTCAAATCCAGCCTGACTTGAGAATCTGAGCTCTTCACCACCACAGTCTCTTATATCTCACTGGTCCTCGTTATGATCTGTGATCACTTATTGACAGTAGATGTGTCCAGTAGGCACTGGGGTGTGAACCCAGAGGTGGGAGAGGGATTCAGGAGCTCTGAGCACACAGGTGATGGCTGACTCCAGGGAAGGTGCGTAGGGTGAACAGAGAAGGCAGAACTGTGAGGGAAAGGGACAGAAAAATAGACTGGGGGGATTTGGGTGGAGAGCTGGGGGAAGGGCAGCAGATGAGTGTCATGACAACCAAGAGAGAAAGAAGGCTCTTAAAGAATATGTTGCCCTGAGTCAATTAAGGCCAGGCCTGAGAAACATCTGTGGGCTTTGACATATCTGTGGTTCTTGATAACTTTCCGGAGAGCCACTGTGCAGAATGTGCTGACATTTGGCTTGGAAGGGAAGGAGTGAGCTACACCATGACTTCTTTTGCCCTATTGGCCTGTTGAATGCCTCTCATCCTGCAAGAAGCAAACGGGGGTCTCTGCCAGCTTCTGGTATCCCTCTTTAGAAGTCCCCAGCTCTATCTCAGATGGAGAGCTTTAAAAAATACTGTTTATGGTGATCAAAATCAGAACAGTAGTTGTCTCTGCAAAGGGAGGGGCGGGGATCGATTGGGAAGGGAAAGGAAAGAACTTTCCGGAGTGAAGGAAATGTCCTATATCTTGAAAGGGTTGTGGGTTGCATTTGTCAAAACTCATCAAAATATATACTTATCCGTGCATTTCATTGTATGTAATTTATTCCTCAAAATTGTAAAAAAGTGAGAAATTAGGGACGCCAGGACTCTACCCTGGGCTTCTAAATCAGAATCTCCGACACTGGGGCTCGTGCATGGTTATCTGGAAGGTTCCGCAGACGACTGCAACGTGCCGCCAGCACGGAGACGCACCACTGGAGCAGCTAATCTCTCACCCCTTCAGGTGTCCTGGGCTCTGGCACGACTCCCTCACATTCGGCCTGCTGTCCGTCGTTCCATCAGTTTCGGCGCAAGTCTGTCCCCGCAGGGAGCCCTGGGTCCCCCAGGTAACCAGCTCAGGGCCGGTGGTGGTGGGCAGGACGCCGGGGAGCGGGAGGGGGAAGGACGGCTGAACCCGGAGCCCACAAAGCCGCTGCCCTGAAGGGTGCGGCGGGCCCTGCTTGTCCCATGAGGCCGGCGAGAGAGCGCACGCACCACGCCGCAGGATTTTAGGAGTTCAGGAAGGCCCTCGGCTCTCTGTCCCGAGAGCCGGGACCCTTACCGCCTGGCCGACAAGTGGTCATGAGGGAACCTGTCCACCCCGTTGGCCGGCCGACCTCGTGGCGCAACGGTAGCGCGTCTGACTCCAGATCAGAAGGTTGCGTGTTCAAATCACGTCGGGGTCAGTTCCAGCCCTATTGCTTCCGTCATTTTTATTTATTCCCCTCATTTTCAACTATGTTCGAGCCCCAGCTCCCGGGTCCGAGAAGAAGACCTCGTAGAAGCAGGAAGGGGAGGGCTCCTGGCGCGAAGTCCCGAGCCGCCCCGTCGCGGGGGCCCAACGCTCTCGCGGTGTTTTTTGCGGGTTCCGTAGGTCCGGGCCGATCGCCGAGCTCCTGAGGACTGGCGCACGCTCGAGATCGCTCGGTCCAGAGGGAGGAGGGTCGGGCGCTGGGGCAAGCGAGAGCGTCTCTCGCTCGGTCAATACCCGGCGATTCGTTTTTGCCACGCCGGGCAGGATCCCGCAGACCGCACTCCCTCACGACATGGGTAGGTCCACTGAGAAGTAAGAGCTCAGACCCCAGAGAGAAGATGCTAAGCCGCGCTCCCGTAGACGAGGTGGCCGAGTGGTTAAGGCGATGGACTGCTAATCCATTGTGCTCTGCACGCGTGGGTTCGAATCCCATCCTCGTCGGCCTGCGGTTGACGCGGTCTAGGATTAGTTTTTGTGATCCCAAACCAAGGATTTTTCTTGTTGCTTTCCGTCTGCCTAGATTCAATTTCCGTGTCACCGCTTCTCTGTCTCTCGCCCCCGGCCACGGTTTTCGTTTTCCAGTCCGGGCAAAGGTTGGATATTTGGGGCACCTAAGCATTCACTCACCTGCAGTGGAGCTGACCTGCCCAGGGAAACAGGTGCAAGAATGTTCGTGGTGGGCGCCGTGGCTTAGTTGGTTAAAGCGCCTGTCTAGTAAACAGGAGATCCTGGGTTCGAATCCCAGCGGTGCCTTCGTGAGTCTGTTATAGCTTTTGCAGACCCTTCGAGGGGCGGTGGTAAAGTCGCTGAGTCCCTGGGCGTTCGGCTTATAGAATTTCCCACAGGTTCATCCATCCTCTCCGGGAATTCTCTGGGAATTCACCGGGAGCTATCAGGTGGCGTTTTCCACTTCTGGTTGTGTGCGTGGGCGCAGCGTGCGCGCTGTCAGTCTTCTGCTCTACATCCGCCAAGCACCAGGGTCGCACCTTCTGTGCTTGTCAGTATTGCAGCTGGGCTATTCTCGAGATGCTCAGCGATCCATTTTTTGTATTCTGTTTTCATGCCTCCCAAAGCAATTCTACCCATTTTTAAGTTTTCCTCAGGACAGCGCTGAGCAGTAATGTGAATTCTACATAGGCTCATATTTGGAGACCCGCGCCAGGAGGCCGGTTAGCTCAGTTGGTTAGAGCGTGGTGCTAATAACGCCAAGGTCGCGGGTTCGATCCCCGTACGGGCCAGCCGCTTGTTTTCGCACTTCATACTGGGAATTTTTTGTTAACTCGAGAAGGCTTCCAGGACAACATTCCCAGTCCTCGAGTGTTTCACACCCAAAAGAGAAACGCGTTGAAACTCATTCCAAAGTGGTAGTGTCTTGAGTGGGAGGAGGAAGCCTTAACGAATCTGGAGCTCTTTTTGTGATCTCTCATTCTAAATCTTCCGACTATAACATGGGCTGCTGGAACTTACTATGTGACCTGTAAACAGAAGGCTGCCAGGGGTTGGAACAAAGAGTGTCTCAAACCATACATATGGCACTGATCAGCAGAGTGTGAGAAATGGGGCCAGGGAGCTAACAAGTGTTTCCGGTCTTCCTCCAGAGCCAAGATGTCCAATTTGCCCAGCCCCTAACTGTCTACTTCCCGATCTGAGAAGATGACCCGTTACCTTTCTCATCTGGAGCACCTTGCTTCCATTTCTGCTTTTACGAGATTTCTGAGCCCATATCTGTGTCTTGCATTTCCTCTCAGATCTGCTGCCTAAGAGCAGGAACCATATTCCTCCCCATGTAGCCTGGGACCTCCACCCCACTCCCAGCACCAGCCCCAAGGGAGCTCCACGAAAAAGACCGACCCTCATTGCCATTCCTTTGGCTCACCAATCCCTGTAATCCCATACAGATGCAGCCTCAGCCTTAGCAGCAGCAGCACTTTAATTCCACAAACATTCGGAAAGCCAAAACTGATTAGAACACGCCACAAAAGTGGGCTTCAAAACCAGCAACAATTCTGCCTGAACCCTGAGAGCAGTCCCTCCCAACTCACCCCCTCTACCATGCAATGCATTCCTTCTAGCTCCACTGCGGTTCTGGCTGGGGAAGTGGGAAGGTAGGGGGCCAGCAGGCAGAAGCAGGAGGTTATCCATCTGCAGGTGTGCATCCTTGTCTGCATGGTGTGTCGCCGAAGACCACTCAAGCTCCCACAGTCCCTGGCACCTGAGATATAGCCACTGGAGTTAGGGTGGCCACAGTGGGGGCTGGGGCCTCCTTTGTTTTACTTTCTTGATCACATGTGGCAGTCATGTCTCCCACCCTGAGACCTAAAGCCCTGGGTTCCCAGGGATGGTACTCTAGCTAGGGAAGAGAGTTGGGGAGAACAAGGTAGCTACAGATGGCCAACTGAATAGAAGCAGAGCATCATCCCCTCCCACCAGGAGAGCCTTTAGAACTTCCCCATATACAACCACATAAGGCCCAGCAAACGGTTTCAGCCTTGCTAAATGCATCTGGAAGAGCCTCCAATATATAGGCCTAGGCTCAGCAGGCAGTTCCCACCAGGGCTCCTTGAAGAGTCCTTAGGATCCTGCTGGGCCCTGGCATAGCCTGGCCTGGCCTGGCCTCTCCTGCTCTCCTGGTCACTTGCACAGGGCCTCAAACACCTCCAGCGTGCGTCGAATATCCCGGACTTGGCGCGCCAGCCCCTGAACCGGCTGCAGAGCCCGTTCCAGCTCCTCGCAGCGTGCCAGCAGGGTGTACATGCCCTTGATGCTCATGTCCACGGCTTCGCCTAGGGAGTCCACTGCGTCGCGGTAGGTCTGGATGCAGCCCACGCTCAGCGCTGTCAGCTCCTGCACGGCGCCACCCAGCCCGCGAAGCAGACGGTCCACTCTGCCGCCCAGCTCCCGACTCAGACGCTCCAGGTCCCGCAGCACGTCGGGGTCGATGGGGGGGATGGCCGGAGTGGGTGCGGGCATTGAACAGGGCCGCGCAGGGGCAGGAGGCGGGGGTTGAGGAGCACCGCTCAGACGGATCTTGAGTTGCAGGTTGTTGGCGACAAAGTGAGTGAGGTCGCCGTGGCGGCTCACCGTGCCTTCGAGCTCCAGGGGGCTGGAGATAGTGGCGCGACGCCCGCCGCCCGCACCAGACTCGGCACCCGCTGCGGACCCAACGCCGCCGCACGCCCCGCTCAGCCCGTCCAGGCTGCGGCTGTCCTGAAGGCGGCTGGAGAACGAGCGGCCAACCCTGCCGGCTGCCGCCACCTCCTCGTCGTCTTCCTCCTCCTGCTCAGCATCCATCCCGCCGCCTCCCGGGCTCCCTCGACGGCACGCCCTCTCGGATGCAGGCTTGTCCTCCGGCGGCTCAGGGTCCTTGCGCCGGGAGGACCCATGCGGGTCGTGCTCGGGACCCGGCACCCCCCGGCAGCTCCCCGCCCCAGACGGCGTGCCTCCGCGGCCAGGCTCGTCCTCCCGAGCCTCCCGCTCCGGCGGGTGGACGACGCTGCAGCTCGAAGTCTTCGGGGACGCCCTGGGGTGGCGGCTCGTGCCCCCAACGTTCTCGGCCTCTTCCTCCTCGGATAACCGGAGGCCTGAGGGCGGCTCAGAGGGCGTTCGGCTCGGCCCGCCACCTAAGATTGCGGCTTGCTGTTCCCCCGGAGCCAGAAGGTCCGCCTGGGGCCCAGGCCGCCCCCGGGGCGACTCCATACTGCAGTTGGAGGCAGGAACCGAGGAATTGGTCGGTCCCGGCTCCAGAGGCGTCGGCGGCTCCTTTAAGGGGCGTTGGTAGAGACGCGCCGATTGGCAGCGGCTGACAATGGTAAGGACGGGGAGAACACTCTGATTGGTCGCAGCGACCAGGAAGTCCCGGAAGAAGAGCTGTTATTGAACAGCCGGCCACACGTGAGAGCCAGCGGGGTGGAGAGAAGACGGTGACAGCTGCCCTCGTCGCCCCGCCCTTTCAAAAAGTTGAGGGGGTAGAGCTTAAAGATGAAGGTCCTGAAATACCGGCGTCCTCTGGGGCGGGGCTCAGACTGTTTCCGCCCACAATTGTTGCTCAGCAGACACACCCACTGGGGACCAGACTTGCGGTTCCTAAGAGAGGTTCTTGGGATGGAAATAGTATATCCTGCTTGGACCATTGCGATTCAACCGCATCTAGTGGTCAGGAAGGACGAAACCAGGATTCTCAGCATGAATGGTTGGTTCCAGCGTCCTGACTAACAGACCTAGCGCATGAGCTGCCCAGAGGGACTCACAGTGGACAGCGAAGCCGGCTTAAGGGCCTTCCAATGCTTTTGCCATCTGTTCTCTGTCTCCTGCCCGCTCAGGTTTGAGAGTTTCTTCCCTTGGAGGATGATGTGTGATTTTGCCACTAGGTAAAATATCCAATAAATGAATGGCCCTTCATGAAGATCAGAGCCCTAGTACTGTTCTGATCTCGTCTCTTCCTTCTATTCCCCTCACTGGTCTTGAGGGAGCCGCACTGGCCTCCTCATTGTTCCTCTGACAAGACAGACATGCTCCCGCCTCAGGGACTTACACTTGCTCTTGCCCTTTTTTTTTTTGAAGCTGAGTCTACCAAGAAAAATGTTCAGGTTGGGCTTTCTCCTTCCTTTCTCTCCTTCAGGTCCTTATTCAAATATTACCTTTTCAGTGAAGCCCCCCTTACAACCTGTTTAAAATTGCAGCCGCTTTCCCCAGCAATTCCAGATCTTCCCTCCCTGCCTTTTCTCCATAGCATATATTTTGCTCCTTGCTCATGTAACCTCCATAAGGGTAAGGCTTTTTATCTGTTTTGTTCTCATCTGTATCCCCAGTGCTTAGAACAGTGCCTAACATACAGAAGGTGCTCAATAAATATTTATGAAGTAAATAACCCCAAGCTGTTAATTTCCTCTTTTCGGCTTGAACTCATTCAAGATGTGTTTCTGTCACGTGTACCCAGAGTCCTGACTAATACACCATGAGGCCAATGGTCTACTCAGCTTTTCCATCTCTCTCTAGGACTGACACCCCCGTTGTCTTCCTTTTACCCCTCAGTAGGCAGTTGCTCTATATTCAGCAAGTGACAGAAAACACAAGTTAAACCAACAACAAAAAAAACCTAGGGGAATTTATTGTCATGCAATAATGGTCTCAAGACAGAGTGCACATCAGAAAAGCCTGTGTTCAGTGCCCTAATGCTGTCTTGAAAGACCTGATTGCTGTCTGTGGGGGCAGCTTTATCTCAAGGAGGCTTCCTCATGGGGGCAATACGGCTATGTCATGTATCATTCTTTGGGGGTTATATTGGTCGGCTCAGGCTGCTATTACAAAATACCATAAACTGGGCTTTTTTTTTCTGAGGAACATTCGCCCTGAGCTAACATCTGCCACCAATCTTCCTCTTTTTTGCTGAGGAAGACTGGCCCGGAGCTAACATCCGTGCCCATCTTCCTCTACTTTATATGTGGGATGCCTGCCGCAGCATGGTGTGCCAAGCGGTGCCATGTCCACACCCGGGATCTGAACTGGCAAACCCCAGGCTGCCAAAACAGAGCGTGTGAACTTAACCACTATGCCACCAGGTTGGCCCCAAATTGGGTGCCTTAAACAACAGACATTTATTTCTCTCATTTCTGGAGGATGGGAAGTCCAAGGTGCCAGCTGGCTCAGTTCCTGGTGAGGCCCCCTCTTCCCAGCTTGCAGATAGCCATCTTCTTGATGTGTCTTCACATGGTGGAGAGAGAGAGCTAGCTCTCTGGCCTCTTCTTGTGAGGACACTAATCCCATCATGAGGACCCCGCCCTCGTAACTTCATCTAAACCTAATTATCGCAAAAGGCCTCAGTTCCAAATACCATCACACTGGCGGGTAGGGCTTCAACATAGGAATTTTGCAAGAGACAAAAACATTCAGTCCCGGGATCATTCGTCATCCTTTTTGGCCTCTCAGGGTCTGAATCCCAACGTTTGAGACCTGTCCCGCCTCATCAGGCAGAACCCATCTTCCACTACAAAAGCTGGAATGCCAAGCAGTCCGTTTCCCAGCTTCCCCGGCACGTGGCTCAGGCTCCACCATGATGTACGGGACCACTTCTGCAGTGGAGTTTTTCCTGGCGGTGTGGACTCCAAGCCTGGTCCTCCTAGAGATTCCTGGCACTCCTGGAGATGCTGTGACTTACCCAGGATACTTATTATAAGGTCCTTTTTCTGCGTAAGGGAGCCCAAATTGTTTTCTGTTGCACACAGTTAGGAACCCTGGCTGATATATTCCCACACCTTCCAGAAGGGGAGAAAGGAATAGCTTCCATTTTACCTCGCAGAAAAACAAAGATGCATCTTTCCCAAAAGCTCCCGTCAATTTCTGTTTACATCTCATTGGCCTAACCTGATTCACATGCCCAATTTAATCACTTTGGCCAGGGTAATACATGTCTGACCGACTTCGGACAGAGCATCCGGAAGCAATCACCCTGGCAAGGTGTTAAGAATTAACTGATTAGGTTAAAACGTTATGCTCCTCCTGGAACATAATGGGGCAGGGAGGAGGGCCTGTGGGGGAGGGACCACAGTGTCCACGACATTAGGGGTCAGCAAAGTATGGGCTACAGGCCGAATCCAGCTCTCCACCCGTTTTTATATGGCCTGTGACCTAAGAATGGTTTTTACATTTTTAAATGGTTGAAAAATAATCTAAAGGGGCCGGCCCCATGGCCAAGTGGTTAAGTTCCGACACTCCTCTTGGGTAGCCCAGGATTTTGCTGGTTTGGATCCTGGGCGTGGACATGGCACTGCTCATGAAGCCATGCTGAGGCAGCGTCCCCACATGCCACAACTAGAAGGACCCACAACTAAAAATATACAACTCTGTACTGGGGGCGCTTTGGGGAGAAAAAGGAAAAATAAAATCTTAAAAAGAAAAATAATCTAAAGAATATGAAAATTCATGTAATTACATGAACTTTAAATTTCAATGTCCATAAAGTTTTATTGGAATACAGCTACATTCAGTCATTTGTATACTGTCTGTGGTTGCTTTTCGGCTATAGCAGCAGAGTTAAGTAGTTTCAACAGAGGCCATATGGCCGGCAAAGCCTTAATTATTTACTTCCTGGACTTTTACAGATAAAGTTTACCACCTCTTGCACTGCAGGTCTCCCCCACTTTAAGCTGTTGGGAAGTGGGAGCACCCCCCACACACACACACACAGGAAGGGCTCAATTCTCCTGCTTGCCTGTCATTGTCAGCAACTGTCAGCCACTTCTGATGGTCACATGTGACTCTTTCAGACATATGCACACTCCGTTCATGTGGCTTTGGAATCCTTTTGTCAATATTTTATAAAAACATTTTTTGGAAAAAGATGCCTGTATTACACAGGGCAGGGAGCTAGAGAGGGATGTTTTACTGCAATTAGGGACAAGTGTCCTGTTAAAAGCCCGTGTTTTCTCTGCTGCCCCATGAATACACATTTTTTTGTTGCACACTATGCAATTCCTGTAAATTGGAATTTCATATATGAAGAAAATGATGGCATCTTGAATCAATTTATATAAATGGAATAAGAGACCGGCTATTTGGACTAAAACAAAAACATTATTTCATTCCTTACACCAAAAAAAATTCCATTTTGGTCACAATTTTAAATGAAAAAGCAGAAAAGTACTGAAAGAAAACAGAGGTGCATGTTTTTTTATGAGCATGGTGTGATGAAGGTTGTTTAAAGTAAGGCCAAAAGTCAGACATCATAAAGGAAAAAGATGATAGACTTGACAATGTAGAACTTGAAAACTTCAACGTAGAAAAACTGCCCTGTGCTAAAAGACAAATTGCAGAAAGGAAAAAAACACTGGCAAAGTATATGACAAACTGTTAATATCCCTTGACCTTACAAGTAAATTAGCAAAAGACACATATATTAGAAAAATGGCCAAGGACTTCAGGGTTGGTTAATTCAGCAGCTCAGCAAAATCATCAAGTACCCAGGCTCTTTCCATCTTTATGCTCTGTCGCCCTCAGTCTGCAGAGTTGTCTTCACCCCATCTCTCCTCATGGGCACAAAATGGCTGCCACACATCCAGTTATCTCAGGAAGATTTGAACTAGTTTCACTGTGGTATTAGAGGTCACTAGGTCACTCAGTCAAATCACCCAGTTTTGTTTCAAGCCACACCATTAGGAGACAGTCTGTAAAACTAGTACAACTGTTCCAGTTGTTAGACTCATTCGTTCACATAATCAATGAGGTACCCAAAATAGAAGACTTTTATTAAAAAAGAATCATGCCACCAACAAGACCAGAGAGGGTTTGTAACACTGCAAAGCTCAGTAGATACAGGGGCACTGGGAGAATGTGGCTTTCTCCAAAAGGCTGCCTCACCATCTCTCCTTTTAACCTATTCTAAATTTCGAAAGCTCTTTGCTTGAAGTGCAGCCCATGTGTGGGAGTTTTTCTTCTTAGGAATTCCATTTTCCATTCCTTTGGAAAACCTACAGTCGAACCCTTTAGGTCTGTCCTGTCTGTCTTGCTTTTTGTAGGCATTCTAATAAGTGGCAATATCTCATTATGGCTTTAATTTAATGATGTTGAACATCTTTTCCTGTGTTTATTTGCTATCTATGTATGTTCTTTGGGGAAAGTAGTCCCACTTTTATGTCATTTTCTGCTTTACATATCTTGTAAACTACTTGAAATCCTTTCTAGATTAAGACTATATATATATATATTGCAAGGGACGGTTCGCCCGAAGCTAACATCTGTTGCCAATTTTCTCCTCTTTTTCTTCCTGGTTCCCCCCTAAAGCCCCAGTGCATGGTTGTATATCCTAGTTGTAAGTCCTTCTAGTTCTTCTCTGTGAGCCACAGCATGGCTAGTGACACACAAGTACGGTGTAGTTCCGCGCTAGGGAACTGAACCCCGGCTGCCAAAGTGGAGTGAGCTTTAACCGCTTGGCTAGCAGGGCTGGCTCAGGACTATATTTTTAAATGCTTCTTAGATCCAGGTACATTACTACACTAGAGAAGAGACCATGTTGTAGGAAAGGAAAGATTATTTCCATCTTAACAGCTCAAAAAAATTAAACAACTTAGTCAAGGTCACATGGCTAATAAGCCGTGGAAAAGGAACTAGAACTAAGGCAAGCTGACAGGAAGTGAAAGCTCGCTCCTCCACAGAGCCCCTACCCGCTAGTGCCATGATGTGGGGTGGGACAGATCACTCCACCCACTCTGGTCGGTGCCCACACCCCTGCGCGGAAATGCAGCCTGTCTTCCACTTCACGGAAATGCAGACTGTCTTTCCAGAGAGAAGTGTCTGCTACCATTTCGGGAGGACGTGAACAGATACCCAGGGAAGAAGAGAAGTGGCTTTTCATTTCTCCTATTTCTGTCATCATCCATTCAGTGGGAAGGTAAGGTGATCATCAAGTGCTCAAAGTAAGCAAATGTCGCAGTCAGTTGGACTCATCACTTTGATATCTTTACTCAGAAGAATGTCAACTAGGACAGTTTTCTCTGCACGCCCCAGAGCACAGGCCCTCATGTTCTTTGTGGGGTTTGTTGAGCAGGATGTTTGTTGAGTGGGATGTGGGGTGGGAAGTAGAATTATATCACATTTTTACATTATATTAGGGGGGTGGCTCTTCCTCTGGATGCTTGGAATTTTCTTTTTTTAAAAATGGGCACCAGAGCTGTTGCCAATCTTCTTTTTTCTTCTTCTTCTTCTTCTCCCCAAAGCCCCCCAGTACCTAGCTGTATATTCTAGTTATAGGTCATTCCAGTTGTGCTATGTGGGACACTGTCTCGGCATGGTCCAAGGAGCGGTGCTAGGTCCGCACCAGGCATCTGAATCAGTGAACCCCGGCCCCTGAAGCAAAGAGCATGAACTCAACCGCTATGCTACCAGGCTGGCCTGTGGATACTCAGAATTTTCATGAGTGAGATGATGCCTCTTAAAAAAGTCTCTGAGGGGTCAGGCACAAGTCAATGAGAAAGGTCATGGCACAGATCACTATTCTTCCCATTACTCAAAATAGGCTGGGGAGTGGCATTCTAGCTAGAAGAGCAGGTGCAAAGGCCCTGAGGTGGAAACAAATTTGGCATGTTCAAAGGACAGCAAAGAGGCCAGTGCTTTAGTGATGGAAGAGGATGAGAAGTTAGAGATGAGCTTGGAGAAGTAGAAAGGAACAGGATCTCCTTGGGTGGGGATTTTTCACTCAGAGTCTCCTGGGGAGTTTTAAAACATACGAATGCCCCGGTCTCAACCCAGACCAGTCAAGTCTGAATTTCTTAGAGTGAGGTCTGAGTTCTATTTTCTTTTAAAGCCCTCCAGTTGATTCTGATGGGTAGCCAGAGTTGAAAACCGATGGAGGACCCCTACCGTGGTAAGGCATTTGGATTTTATTCTAAGTAACTGCAGTGAAAAAGCGAAGGAGGGTTTTGACCCTGGGAATGAGGAGCTCTAACTTCCGCTGTGTGGGGAATGGGCTGTAGGGCCCAGAATGGATGCAGGGAGGACAGTGAGGATGCTTCTAGCCATCATCCAAGCCAGAAGGGATGGGGCCTTGAACTAGCTTGAGAGCAACGGAGTCTGCGTGGAAGGAAGCTGGGGCTGGGACTCAGTGGATTTGACTGACGGCAGGAAGGCAGGGCTGGTGGAGAAGAAAAGAGAGAAACCAGGGGTGATTCCTAGATTTTTGGCTTCGGCAACTGGGTGAATGATGGCACCATGAACTGAGATGGGGGAAATATGGGGGTTTTTTGTGGCGGCGGGGTGGTGAATTGAGAGTACTGTTTTAGCGTGTTAACTTTGAGAAGACTATTCGATACAGTAAGTGGAGATGCCAAGGATATATGAGTCTTAGACTTGATGGGGAGGTTGAGGTGAGAGATATTGATGTAGGAGTCATGTTTAAAGCCATGGGATGGAGTGTGATTAGAGTGTAGATGGGGAAGAAAAGAGCACCCAGCAGAGTCCCTCCAGGTCCCCCATCAGGGCTCAGAGGAGGGCCCAGCTCGAGGGGCTTAGCTAGGCCAGGAGGAAAAGAAGCTAGTGCGGTTCTGGAGGTGGAAGGAGGGGAGGGGGATATTTCTAGACGAGAAAGGTCACCCCTGTTGAATGTGGCTTCGAGGTGGGGTCAGAGAAGGGCCCATTGGATTTGGCTGGAGCAGTTTCAGCTGCTGAAGGGCGGGGTTGGGGGAGGGACACAGGCCAGGATGCCTCTTAAAAAAGTCTCTAAGGGGTCAAGCACTGGTCACTGACAAATGTCATGGCACAGAGATGAGGAAGTCAGTGCAGATGGTGAGTGTAGACAATGTGCTCAAAAAAAATTTTGCTATGAGAGCAAATTGGGAGTCACAAGAGGTGGGGTCAAGCTACTGGTTGTTCGTATAGTGATGAGAATTATCCAGCAAAAAAGGAACATATTAATGTTCAAAAAGAGAATTGAAAAGGGACAATTGCTGGAGTGAAGTTGTTGAATGGAAAGAGGAGGGGGGCCAGAGCACACCTGGAGGGGCTGCCTCCTAGGGACCAGGGCACTTCTTCCATTGGAGGGTGGGAGTGGGGAGGCAGCTGACCCGTGAAGAGAGTAGCTTGGGAGAGTGGGTGGTCGGATTATAAAAGAGCCCTGTCTGATTCTGCTATTTCTCCAACAACTGCAAAGGGAGGTCATGAGGGTGGAGGCATGTGGGGAGATTTGGTGGCTTGGGGAGTGGCAAAGCCAACACGTGGGGCGACTTAATGAGGGTGTTAGTCGGCATTAAGGCTGCAGGAAAATGGGTGCCCTCCTTCACCGCTGGTGGGAGCGGGAGAGCAATTGGGCATCCTATCAAAGGTTTCCTGGGCGTACCCTATGACCCAGCATTGCCATGTCCCTCTCTAGATCCTCCCCAGAGAAGCCCTCACACAGGAGCACAAGGAGGCACGCCAAAGACATGGCCCCAGTACAAGGCACCGGAAATAGTCTACATGTCCATCAACAGAATGGCTTTGAAAGAACCTAGGAATATCCATAGTAAGGATTATAGTGCAGCAGTTTTAAAAAACAAAGTGTATCTCTCCAAACTGTCATCGAGAGGCTTCTCAGGCATCGTGCAAAAAGGAAGTGAGAGAACAACACATACAGTGCAATACAGCTTACGTTAAAGAAATGTCCACATGCTAAAGACAATGCTGTTTTCTAGAAGTATACAGACATGAACGTAAATACAAAGAAAGAGGACTAGAAAGATATGTTACCAAACTGATATTCGTATCTGATATTAGTATAATTGGAAAAGTGGAATTTCACCTTATTCATATTATTTATAAGTGCATTAACTCATTTAATTTGTGTAAATTAAAACATTTTTTTAAGAGACAACACAGCGCTCAAACTCAAGCCCTGGGGAAGCGGAGCCTGGGGCATTAGAATTAGGAGTCAGAAGCATCTGCATAAGAGGCTTGGCGGTGAGAGTGGGGAAATGCGGGCAGAGTGCTTCTAGGGCACAGCCCCTGCATTCGGAATTTTTAAAGCACCTTCGAAATACTCCTGGGTCAGAGAAGAAATCATAATGGTAATTAGAGAACACTGAGACCTGAATAATAATAAAATATACTCCATCTGAGGCCCGTGTGACGCAATGAAGTGACACTTTGATGGATGTTGACAGCTGTTAAGTGCTCAGACTTGGGGAGAATTTGGGGGTGGATTAGTGATCTGTAGGTTGGAGACTGAGCAAATGGCACGACTATTGACTTCAGAGATAATTAAAAGTTGTAAAGAAAAGAAAATAATGGAATGCTACGTGAGTCAGCGTATGACCATTTCATGGTCACAATATAAACACTGGGCACTGATCCTCCAGATTCGCACGGTCCATGAGCAGAGAATTTTTGCTCTTTCATTCACTGCTGTCCTCCAGCCTCTAGAGCAGTGCCTGGAATGTCAAAGGCTCTTAATAACTATTGTCAAATAAACCTAACCAGAATTATGACATAACTACATCAGAAGGATGCTAGGACATAAAAATGTACATGTGTATGGTGGCAGTGGGGTGAAAGAGGGACATCCTTAAATTTTATAGCAATAGGAAATAGAAATAGGAAAATAATAGGTAATGCCTAAAATGGAAGATTTATGAAGTAGCAACAGAAGCATGTGATTTAGAAATAGATGGTAAATACTAAAAGCAAAACAAAACAGCAAAAAGATTTGGAACTGGATATCTCTGGCAAGAGAGAAATGAACAGTTAGCTTTTAAAAAAAAGCCATATAACATTGTTCAGTTGTTTTAATCTCTGGGTACGTATTGTGGACTGCATGCTAGCCCCAAAAGATATGTCTATGTCCTAACCTCTGGAATTTATGAATGTGAGGTTTTTTGGAAAAAGGTCTTTACGAATGTAATTAAGGATCTTGAGATAAGATCATCCTGGATTATCTGGGTGGGCCCTAAATCAAATGACTAGTGTTCTTATAAGACAGAGAGAGACAGAGAGAGAAGAGAAGGCCATGTGAAGATGGAAGCAGAAATTGGAGTTATGCAGACAAGCCAAGAAATGCCTGGAGCCACCGGAAGCTGGAAGAGACAAGAAAGGATTTTGTCCTAGAGCCTTTAAAGGGAGTGTGGCACTGCAGACACCTTGATTCTGAACTTCTAGAACTGTCATAATAAGTTTCTGTTGTTTGAACCACCAAATTTGTAGTAATTTGTTATAGCTGCTCTAGGAATCAAATACAGCGTGAATAACTGAGATAAAATAAAAATAAGAAAATTTATTGATGTACTTCACCACATTGATCAGAAGAGCAAATGACAGATACAGAAAAGCATCTGATGAAGGTCAGCACCTATTCATGGTATGAAAAAACCGGCCCTTTGCCAACTGGGAAGAGAACAGGCTTTCTTTAACCTGATAAAGGACTTTTTTTAAAGACTATACATAGTAACAGTAAAAACTGTAGTTCCTGTTCCAATTCTGTGATATATAAAATAAATGTGTGTGCTGTGGAAAGGCATCATTATACCACTCTAGCATGGTATTAAAGACTATGGACTTTGAGTTTAAAATTGGGCTCCCTCATTTATTAGCGGTGTGACTCATGGCAGATTATGTAACCCCGCTGTGTCTCAGTTTCCTTATCTGTAAAATGGGGTAAACCTATAGCAAGCATCCTACTTAACACTGAAACCTTAGGTCAGGAACAAGACACCGTCAGTGCTGCTCCTATTTACTCTTGTATTAGATCCTGACCAGAGCTGTCAAACAAGCGAAAAAAAGACAACTTTTAGGGTACAGCAATGTTCAGTTGCTCCTGGGTTGACAGGACTGAACCAGGAGAAAGACTAGAGGTCAGACAATTGAGCGGGAAGAAAGAGAAGGTGGGCTAGACGCCTGGTGTTCAGGCAGAGCAGAGTGGAGCACGGTCCCAGCTCCCCCAGACCCTGGAAGTCAGAGCAGGGGAAAGACAAGACACGGGGGAGCAGGCGGCTGGGAGCTGACGGGGTGGGCATCCAAGCTGAAGGTGAGCACTCCCGGGGCAGTGACGCAACGTTCATCCCGGCACCCAGCATGGGCAACTCCCTAGCCTCCTCCCCATGGGAGACAGCCGCCGCCGCAGCAAAGTCTCCACCTGTAAACGTCTACACTCATCAGTATAAAAGGCTTCAGCTTTTATTAAATAAAAAGGAGGTAGAAGACAGATAAGGGAACAGGCCAGAGACCCCTCCTTCCAACTACACATATACAGACACACAAACACAGACACAACCGAATAAATGACAGGGACAATTCAGGGGACAGACTGAAGGGCAGAGGGAGGCAGCACCCTCCGAGAATGGGCCCGGACCCAAGGGTGGGCTGAGACCTGGGCCAGGGGCAGCCGTTCTGAGGGGTTATGCCTGAGCAGCTTGGAGATGAGGTCCTGGGCTCCCGCGGGCACAGAAGGGGGGAACTTCAGGTCTACCTGCAGAAGTAGAGAAAGGCGAAGGAAGGGTTCCTTCAGATTCGGCCTGGTTGTTTTCTCCTTGACTGCCCATTCAATTTGGAGAGTTACAGAGGGCCCTGCAATTCCCAGCCCCTGGCCTCTGCAGCCAGCACCAAGTCCCAGCCAGGGAGCCAGGCCGGCCCTCCCACCTTGACGATGCGCCGATATGTCTCGTTGTGTGAAGCACTCTCAAAGGGCGGGTTTCCCACCAGCAGCTCATAGCAGAGTACTCCAATGCACCACAGATCCACCTTCTCATTGTGCGTGCGGCCCTCAATCATCTCAGGGGGCAGGTAGTCCAGGGTGCCACACATCGTCTTCCTCCTGGGTGGGGTGGGGTGAGTGGGCAGGGGTCCCAGAGACAGACAGCCTCTCCTTTCCCTGCTGCCTGACAGGGAGCCAAGGGACCCCAGGATGCCCCAGGGGAGTGTTCCAGCCAGGCTCTGACAGGGCCTTTGGGGTAGGGATGGGGTGAAGATATAAACGAAAGCCCCAGAGGAGGGCTTACACACTGCCTCAGTGTTTCCGCACTGAGGGATGGCTCTTCAAACAATCAGACATGAGGGCAATGTTTGCCTTAGAAGGAAAGGAAAAACTGGGGACATCTCGAATGTCCACCAAGCGTGTCCTGCTTAAATAAATCAGGTCACATCTCTACTATGCGACACTATGAAGCCACTAAAGATGATGTGGGAGTATTCTCAGTGATATGGCAAGGGGCTCCCAAATATAGAGTAAGAAATCTGGGCAACAAAATTGCGTTTCCTATTTTTGTAAAGATATTACTGTCTGTATTTACATGAGGACAAACCGAAATGTATCTGGGTAACAACATCTGGAGCAGTTTTATTTTGAGTGTCCCAGCCTCACACCCAGGGCTGCCCTCCTGTCCCACCATACCTCAGGGAGGGCGCGTGCACCGACCAGCCAAAGTCGGCAATCTTCAGCTCTCCCTGGAGCCCCAAGAGCAGATTCTCTGGCTTTATGTCTCTGTGAATCACCTTCTTCCCGTGGCAGTACATCAGGGCATCTGCCAGCTCCTCCATGATCTGGGAGAGCCAATGACAGGCAGTCAGACGAGGACGCATCGCCGGCTGCGAGCAGCGTACCCCTAGCCTCAGGGCCCCCCAACCGGCACTCCAGGTGCCCACCCGCCCCGACCGTGGCTGTTCGCTGCTCATCAAAAGTGCGGCTCTTCTGCAGCTCCTTGTAGAGCTCCCCCCGGGGGGCATACTCCAGAATCAAGTAGATCCTTCGCCGGTCATAGAAATAGTTGTAGAGACGCAAGATGTTGGGATGCCTGGGAGAAGAGAGACAGGAGGACTCGGGCTGCATCCTGGCATAAGGAAATGGGAAAGATGACAGGTCCCAAATGGGGTAAACTGGGGACCGACTTGGACCAGGCTGGCAACACCACGGCTGACAGTGGCCAGTGGGAACTGGAGGCAGCTTTCTGGATTGAGAGCTCAATGTGACTAAGTGGCCACAACTATAGAGAAAAGCCTAGATGTGGTGGGGCTGAAAGAATTGCTGGGGGGGAGGGAGCAGAGGGGCTGGGGCTCAGAGGGCGTTGACCCGTACTGCAGATGGGCCTGGATTTCGATCTCCCTGCGCAGCTGGTGCTCCACGCCCTCCTTCTCTATCTGAGACTTGAAGAGGACCTTGAGGGCCACGATGAAATGGCTCTTCTTCTCCCGAGCCAAGTACACGTTTCCAAACTTGCCTTTGCCCAGAGGACGCCCAATCTCAAAGTCATCAATTGTGAAGGAACGCCTGATTAGAGAGTCGGGGGGGAAGGCAGCTGAGCACTGGTTTGTCAGTCATCTGAGGTTGCTTTCCCCCTGCACGTCAGCCCCATTTCTTTTCGGGGCAGTTGAGGATGGATCAGGCTCTCTTACCCCCGCCCCCACTCCTCCGGCCCTTAGCTTCTACCTCCCTCATCTCCTAAGTGTTCACTGTCTCCCTCCTCTCTTGCCACCCCAAGGCTTGGGCACTTACATTAACAAGTTGGGTGTCCCACTGCTGTTCTCCATCACCTTCTGGCCAAGGGCAACTAAGGAAAGAACAGGTAAGTTGAGGCCCTCCTTTGACATTTTCATCCATGCACCCTCCTCGTAGACTCTAGTCCTCTCAGGTTGTCCTTTCCCCCATCCCAGTTACCTGTGGGCTGAGCATTGGAGCGGCTCATGAGGACAAGTGCAGATGGGGTGGCAGGCTCCTTCCGGAGGACTCTCTGGGGCAGGGTGTTCAGGCCAGATTGAGCCTGAGAAGGAGCAGGAGTGAGTTCTGAGGGTGCCTTTGTCTCAGTGACCGGGTTGGAATGTGCTGCAAGCAGCATTTCAGTACTTGCTATAGAGTCACCCACCCACCCATCCCCAATTCAAAGAGGAACACTGAGACCACAGTTTTGCTACTCAGCTCCAAGACTCTGCTCAGAGCCCCATATCAAAATGGGTTCTAAATAAACAACCCAAGTGGAGCAAAGGACTTAACCCAACACCTAACATTTCACCTCTTTGGCCCTGGCCCACATCACATTCTCAGGCATGAAACTGTCCAACCTCTCAAGTCCTGTCTGTAACACCACTCATTCACCCAGCTCCCGACCCCAGGGGGCAGTAGAGGGCTGCAGTAATGAACACCCACAATTCAATGAATTTTAGCACAGAGGCATTCTCATAGCCCCTTAAAAGCTCAGCCTATTAAGGCTAACATAAGGTCCTTGAGGCCTTGAATGTTGCAGCAAATACCAGTATCTACCCCTTTGCAACACCAGGCTTTAGGGACAGACACTGAGGGCTATTGTGATGGCCCTGGACCACTTCTCACCATCAACTTCTGAGTAATATACATAACTGTCTTTTGAGAGTGACCAGTGTAGAAGTGACAATGGTTTTTCATTCAGCCTCCATTCTGGATAGCCCCACTCAGTGCTCCACAAGGGAGGGAGCTGGGGGACAGGGGAACAGATGGACCCTCCAGGATGGCCAAGCCCCGCCAACGGGGAGCAAAGCCTGTGCAGGGCCCCTTCCTTCTTCTTTAGCCAGGAGTGGAAGAAAGCCTCAGTGCCCCTTCCAACCTGTTCCCAAACTGTGATATTAGTACAGAATTTACAAATAAGCAAGTTGAACAAAACAGAGTCCAGAAACAGACCCACATATATGTGAGAATTTAATATACATAAAAGGTGACATTTCAAATCAGAGGGTAGACTCTTCAGTGAAAGGTGTTGAGACAACTGGAAAATAAACCCATTTAGATCCTTACCTCATACCAGTCATTAAAATAAATTCCAAATTATTTAGACTGGTCCTGGAACTTTTAAACTTATAAACTTTATCTCAATCCTTCATGAGTCTATTTCTATTTACTGCTTAGCATATATTTTTCAGGGCAAAGGTTGGGAATCATGGCCTGAAGGCCAGACCCTGCCTGCTCAGTCCCAGATATCATTTGTATGTGACAAGTAGGCTCAGCCCTGCAGAGCTCCTCACAGCACCCGACAGGATGTGGCTGCAAATGACCAGAGTGGGTTCTGCCAGCAAACTCTTGGGGCCCATATAGTGGAGCATAAACGGGACGAAAATGCTTAGAGGATCCGCCTCTGCAGGACCTCGAATCTCCAAGCAGGAAGTCGCCAAGCGTGTGGGGGTGGAGGGTAAGTGGGAATGCCCTTACCGTCTGCCGACCGTAGGGCCAGGGGTAGGCGTTCTCCTTCTGGGTCATCCTTAGAGGGAAAGGGGGAGGAAAGCTGGGCAGAGAAAGGAAACAGAGCCATGAGAAGCAGAAAAATGAGGGAGCGAGAGCGGGAGGGGTCGGATCGATCTAGCCGGAAGCGCTTGCCTGGGGCTGGTGAAAGGGAGCAAATCTACACGCTGGCCACATCAGGGCGCACCCGGGTGCTTGCCTCGCTGCCCCCGCCTTGCCACCGGCCCCACCCCTTTCCAGGACCCTCTCTCCACCCTTGAGCGCCCGGCAGCTGGCGGAGTGCGCGCGGGCTCGCCCAACGGACCCCCGACCTGCCCGATCACTTGTCCTCTCGGAGCAAGGCCCGCGAAAGGAGGGCAGCTCACCTGGAGCCGGTGGCGCAGCCACCCTGCTGGCCGCTGGAAAACGAATGGCCCTGCCCAGCCGCGCCCCAGCCGAGTTCCTTTCAAATCTCCCGCCCTGGTCCCATTGGCTGAGCGGGCCGCACATGCCCAATCCTCATTGGCTGGATGTCCAATGACCTAGCCCTCGAAGGGCCCAATCGAAGAGGCGGAATGCCAGCCGGGGCACGCTTGGGTTCCGGATTAGGAGAGTTCACCTTATCCCGTGATTCTCATATCTTTTTTTTTTATTAAAAATTTAAAATTTTAACATACCTGGAATTTATCCTTATGTATATGGACTAGGATCTAACTTGTTTTCTTTCAGATGGACAGCCAGTTATGCCAGCACCATTTGTTAAACAAACTACCATTCCCAGCGGAATTTAAATGCTACCCTTGACATAATAAATCATCGTAGATAGTTGGATCTATTTCCAGACTCTCTATTCTGTTACACTGTTTGTTTGCATGTGTGCTTATTCTTGTGTCATTACTATTTTGTTCTATAAAGTCTTTCACTCACATCTCTAGTAGGAATTTTCCACCAGCGGACCAAGGCCACATTGTTTGGACTGACTGTCACATTTCTCCTTCCTGCCATGCTCCCTTCTTCTCTGCTCTTTCTGACCCCAAATTTTACTATTGGGTTAAATGAATCCATTTTGGGACCTTCTATGAAATAACTAGTGGATATTTGCAAGTATTGCGCGTCCAGTACCCTTCCTATTCCTTTGAATAATAATATCCTAACTTTGCTTTGGGGAACCACCTGTCTCCCCATTCTGTGTTGTTGGTTTCTGTTGCTGCTGGCCCCAAATCCCTATCTTGATGGAGACCTATTGTACTGGACATTGTGGTTATGTAGTCAGCGTCCCTTCTCCAAGTGATTCCCACTTCCTGAAAGCCCCTAGAGTTTTGCGGGTCTGAGAGGGAGCTGACCCCATCCCAGGCCCAGGAGTGGATCTTGTTTGATTTACAGCAGTCAGGACCTTTTATTCCAGAATGATGGTCACTGGTTTGGGGATACACATGTAACTCAAGTGCGCCAGTTAGTGGGAATTTTAGGATTCATGTCCAGAATGCTGGGCAGAAACTCCTTTTCTCCTGCTGGAAGTGGACAACGAAGCACGCAGCCCTCAGTGCTGCTGGCGGTCCTGAAGGGAGCAGCTGAGAATGAAGCTGACCCTGCAGAGGGCAGAAGAGAGGCCTGGGAAGAACCGGAGACCTTGGTGACACTGTGGGCCTCTGGATGCCTATTTCAGCACTTTCCTTAAATGAGCCAAGAGTTTTCCTTGCCTAACGCATTAAGAGTTCTGTTATTTGCTGTCCAAAGCATACTATTAAACTAAAAAATAACACAGCCAGTTATTTTACCAGCAAAATGGGTTTATTTGGGAACAGCAAAGCATTGCAAGTTGGGACAAGCAAGCTATAGCAAAAACCATAGGCAAGTGCAACAATCAGAGAAGAGGAACACTATTTTATAGGGAAAAAGGAGGAAATTGGGAGGGGTTGTTTTAAATGAAAGTCCCTTAGAGAAAAGCAGCAGTTCTGAGTAGTTTCTCTCATTGGCTGAGTTGCTGGGGTAGTCAATTTCTGTTTCAGGTGAAATGTTCATTTCTTCCTGCTGGGGTTTGTGATTGATGATTCTTCCTGTGGAAGACTTCTTTCTGTTGGGGTCTGCAATTGACAATCTTTCCTGTACTTGTAATTGACCTTGAATGGTACTGCGGGAGCTCCCAAGACTATATTCTGGCCTCCAGACTATTTAATTTAATTTAATTTAATTTTTTTGCTGAGGAAGATCCACCCTGAGCTAACATCTGTTGCCAATCTTCTTCTTCTTTTTTTTTTTAAGATTTTATTTTTTTCCTTTTTCTCCCCAAAGCTCCCCAGTACATAGTTGTATATTCTTAGTTGTGGGTCCTTCCAGTTGTGGCATGTGGGATGCTGCCTCAGCATGGCCTGATGAGTGGTGCCATGTCCGTGCCCAGGATTGGAACTGGCAAAACCCTGGGCCGCCAAAGTGGAGCACATGAAATTAACCACTCAGCCACGAGGCTGGCCCCAATCTTCCTCTTTTTGCTTGAGGAAGATTTGCCTTGAGCTAACATCCATGCCAGTCTTCCTCTATGTTGTATGTGGGTCGCTGCCACAGCATGGCCATGGAGGAGTGTGTAGGTCGGCTCCCAGAGCCCACCCAGGCTGCCAAGGTGGAGCCCACCAAACTTAACCACTAGGCCACTGCGCCAGCCCCCAGACTCTAATTTAAATGAGGTTTCCCTTTATTAATTTTCACTATGCTAACTGACACACACCTACAGACCTAGAGTGTTCTTAGTTATTTAGGTTGAATGATGCAAAACTGCTGATAGTCAATTATTTTGACCTACAAAAGATACCAACTTCGTATGATTCAACCAAATATAAATCAAATAAGTCCTTATGGGTTTCTAGATCAGTTCATAATGCTTTCGGCTGCAAGTAACAGAAAAGTCAGTTAAGAATGGCATAAACAATAGGGACTTATTTTCTCTTCTGTAACAAGAAATCAGAAAGTAGGTAGTTCATTAGGGACCAATGTTAGAGATCTGGATTGGGCTCTCTGTGATTCTCTTGGCATTTCCCTTATGACTGCAAGATGGCTGCCAACTGTCTCTGTCTCTTTTATAAGGAAAAGTAGAAGCCTTTCTGCAAGCACCCAATAGATTTCTCATTGGCCAGAACCGTATCACATGACTACTGCAAAGGAGGCTGGTAAAGTGAATATCTCTTCCAGCCGCTACAGTTAACCTGCAAGGGAGTGTGGTGGTAGAAATAGGTGTGTGCCACAATGGCTTTCCATTTCATTCTGCGGAGCCCATGTTAATTTAAAAAGTCAGAGATCTGTGCATGATGAGGGATCCTCAGAGATTTGATGATCATGGCCATCCTGCTGCCTTTTGTGAAAAATGATTTTGCTTCTGGAGGTACACTGTCTTCCCTTAGGGTCAGCTTAACCCCACTTCCCAAGGTCAGGCAGCCCATTTCAATTGTGGCACCTTTATCCACATTGTTGGCATAGAGGGACCAGCCAATGAAGAGCTTTATAAAAATTCTATCACTTGCAGTATACTTTATTCCTCAAGATCTAGTGAAAGGAGACTTTTCTGGAACCTTTAAGGGGATATAGTGCATGGGTGGGATATGCCTGATAGAGCCAATACAGTATCTCTGGCCTCTGGAGTCTTTAAATTCTCGCTTGCACGTTATGTTAGAAGATATTTGGCCTTCCAGGAATATTTGACGGGCCAGTGTAAAATCTGGATTTGTATTATTCATGAACAGCAAAGCAAAACAAAAACTATCTGTTCTATCAGCTAGGCAACTATCAGCTCTCTGTTCAGGTCAGTGAACAAAACCTCTGTTGTTTACCCAGTGCTTCTCAAACAATCTGTGGGGAAGCACCAGTCTGTGTGTGTGTGTGTGAGGAAGATTGGTCCTGAGCTAACATCTGTTGCCAATCTTCCTCTTTTTTCTTTCCTCCCCAAAGCCCCAGCACATAGTTGTATATCCTAGTTGCAAGTCATTCTAGATCTTCTATATGGGATGCCACCTCAGTATGGCTTGATGAGTGGTGTGTAGGTCCCCACATAGGATCCGAACCAGCGAACCCTGGGCCTCTGAAGTAGAGCCCACAAACTTAACCACTCCACCAGGGGGGCCAGCCCCAGGGCCAGTCTTGATTATTTTCAACCTATCACAGATCAATACTATTATTAAATAAATAAAAATGAATTCCATGAAAAACGAAAACTAAAAAATATAAAAATTACAATCCCGCATTTTTTGTTATAATCAACATATATAAAAGTATATTTGTCATATACTCTGACAAATGCTGTAAGAGCTTTTAAATGCTTACTCTCAAATTCTGTACTCATCCCAGACTTGTAAGAAACAGTTCATGAAATGGCACGAGTCTGTGGACCACACTTTGAATACCACCAATCTATATCAGTAGCCATAAATGCAGCCCCGCCCAAAATTATGCATTGCTCTCCTTGGTCAGGCACGCTCAAAACCCACTCTCTTGCAGATATGCCCCGAGTTTATAATGATGGGAATTAGCAATTTCCTCTGAATGTAATTCTTTTCTTTCTTCTTGCTTTGAGTTTTGCTTCCCACTTCATGATAGATGTGGATTCTGGCTACTTGGCCAACTAACAACGAGAGGTGTCAGTGAGGGGCGACTGTCACTGTTCTCCTGCCGCGACTGGGAAAGGTCAGAATGGTTCTTGTTCCAAAGGTCAGGCAGGATGGCTAGGATACTATAATGTTTGTGAGGCACAGACGTCAGCCTCTTTAATCTCTGATAATGGGATATCCCAAGAAGAAATTTCAAGACAAGCATTCTCATCGTCAGCCAATATGCCCCTTCCAGGAGTGAGGAGTAGACTCAGAAGGGTCTGGAAGGGGCTTGTTGGGGAAACCTGGCCAATACCCCCCACATCTTCCCACTAAGTTGTTCTCCTTAAGGTAAACCTGAGGCAATGCTGCTGAATTAAGTAGGTGCAGCAAGACATGGCTGCCCTCTCTCCAGACTTCCCCGAGCATCCCCAGGTCAAACATCATTGCTGGCCTTTGCTCTTGGCAAACAGGGCCCAAGTGCTGCTCATTGGTACAAACCACAGGCCTGGACCAAATGCGTTCCTGCCACGATGACTGAGGCCTGAGGCCCTGTCCAGGTCCCTTTATGTGTCCTCACAGATTGGATCAGCAAGGACAGTGCCCCTCCCCAGGTGACCAGACAACAAGCCTGTACACTACACCTTTGATGCATTTTTTAAGCTTTTTATTGGGGGCCGGCCCTGTGGCCAAGTGGTTAAGTTCATGCGCTCTGCGTCAGTGGCCCAGGGTTTCGCTGGTTTGGATCCTGGGTGCGGACATGGCACCGCTCGTCAGGCCACGCTGAGGTGGCGTCCCACATGCCACAACTAGAAGGATCCACAACTGGAATATACAACTATGTACTGGGGGTATTTGGAGAGAAAAAAGCAGAAAAAATAAAAAAAGATAGGCAACAGTTGTTAGCTGTGGTGCCAATCTTTAAAAAAAAAAACAACTTT